GGCGGAGGTGTGTGGCCGCCGCGCCTGTCTCAGGCTGCCGGGTGGCTTTGCTACACCGTGTCCCCTTCTGCTTTGGGCAGCTTGTGGGACAGGGCTTTCTGCAGAGACAGCTTTCTGCTGCCCCCTAGCATTCGCCTTTTGTGAGGGCTGTGAGTAGAGAGACTTCAACGGGATCGAAAGAAATGAAGCTGATTTTATCGTAGGTGCATTTCATAACATGAGCACGAACGCTGCATGGAAATGTAGAATCGCTTTTGCAGTCTCCTTCCGAAACCGAAGAGATACTGCAGCAGAGTTAAGCAAGTTCCCTCCCAGCAGGAGCACATGTCACCCAGTACCTGTCGGGAGCAGAGCATCAGCTTCAGGCCCGCTCGCAGCGGGGGTTGCTGTGCGCAGCCACCCCTCCCGCTGCGCTCCTCACTCTCAGCCTGTGTGCAGAGGCGAGTCTGGGCGAGGAGCTGGCAAACGCCACTCTCAAAGAGGCAACAGGAATAACTGGGTTGTTTTAGAACGAAATAACAAAAGTAGAGTCTAGGTTGCATCACCAGTAACTAAAAGTCCGGGCTTTAGAGCCTGGCACTTACAGGCTCTTTTCCGCTGGCCATACAGTGTCTCCGTGCGCTGAGCTTCTTGTAGCGTTTCTGGTTCCTTTTTTTATTCTATCACTATGTTCAGCTGTTTGAACTTCAGAAACACTGGCTTTGAAAAGTTGTTAGGAAGGTCCTGATGGCAAATCTAATCCAGGCTCATTTATCTCTCCTGCTGCTCCCAGGGCAGTTACAACAGGTCTCCTGAGCCTTGAACTGGGCTGGTGCAGAGCAGCCACCCCTTGCTGTCAGTGACGTTCCATGAAGACGTTTTGAGCCTCCGCACTTCCTGACATGGGCTTATTTTACCATACGTGCTCCGTGTCTTTCTTGGCTGCTTGCAGGTTTCACTGGAAATAGTGAGTCTCCTCAGCGCTGCTCGGTTCGTTGCCGTACACAATTCTGGGAAAACAATCTCGGGCCTCTTTCTTGTAAGAGAGAACTTGAAAAGCCAATGTGTTCTTTCTTCCCTTGCAGCTGGCCCCAGCGATGCCAATCTGATGTGGTAGAGAAGAGCAAGAGAAGGAGGAAAACAAGGATGAGGTTGGAGCGGTCCTTGCCTCTCCTGGGACTCCTGCTGTGTGCGGGTGAGTACGGCTGGCCAGAAGCCCACGGGGACCCGCCGGGTGGCTGCCCGGGAGCCGCAGAGGAGAAAGCACAGGGGCACACGACCGCTTTTGTGAAGTTCCTGCAGCCACATCTCCTGCGACTGGCACCTACAGTGCCTACGGAGCTGCTGCTCTCCAGAGTGAGCGTTCCCTTCAGAGGGCAGGCTGCAGGGACAGAGAAACGGGCCTCCCGCCCTCGCCGGCCAGAGAAAAGAACCTAAGGTCCCTGGTGAATTTTTGCTGACTAGCTGAGTCACTAAGATAGCTGGTCTCCAAACTTCATGCAGCAGGGTTGGAGCTTGGTGCATTGCTTTCTGCGGCAGCGCGAACTATACGGTTCTGTGGGTTTAACTTTATTTTTACACTTTATTCGTGCACTTTTTTTAAACCTTTTTGCGATCACAGGTAAATAACTTCAGTTCAGATTGGCTGTGATATCTGTGATATCATGGGAGTGGTAGCAATGTCCATTTTATGAGTTTGAACTGATCAGCGTTTAGAAAGCCATTTTAGGATGAAGTGCAGGGTACCTGTAAAGACTCTATAGAAGCTGGCAACTATGAAAGATAAGTTTGGAAGATAATTATAATTAGACTACAGCTACTCTGCCAATGTGCTGCAAATACCAACTGCTATTCTTTGAGAAGATTGAAAACATTTGGTTTAGCGATGGCCTGTTTCAAATTTAAATTCATTTTATATAAAGAAAAAAGCATCAGATACCTTCTCTCCAGCCAAGTCATATGCCTGTGGAATTTCAAATCTACAATTTTGCTACAAGTAACTCCTATTGTAAAGCAAGCATTACCTAGGACGAGACAACAGTGCCGAACACACGAATCCGGGTCATTCTTTTACTTACGTTACTTTCTGTCGACAAATGCTTTTAAAGCAAATAGCAAATCTGACTCAGACCTCCTAACTGCAGCTCCAGAGACGTCAATGGAGCTACTTGTTTCCTACCAAGAGAGAAAAATCACATCGTTAAACTGCTTTACAGCGTTAAATCAAGCGTCAGGGTCCAATCCTCCAGTGAGTACATTCTTGCAGAGGACGGTGGTTCTTACACTGCAGTAACTAGGCATGATTTGCCAGCAGTCTTTGATCCGTGATAATAAAGCAAAACTGTTGGGCCTGCAATAACCTTTTTCTAAACTGGGTTGGAAAATTATTTAAATTTCCATTCTGCGTTACTCGGTGTTTAAAATGGCTTCCAAAGGAAAAGACTTCATTTCAAAACAACATCCTGTCTCAGCTAACAGAATGCTTCTAATGCATTTAGCACGAACAGGAGTATAAACATCTCTTTCAAGCAGTTAAGTTCAGAAAGGATATCCTTGAAGTAGGAAAGGTGTATGATATTGGTAGCTACGTTACTTAACACTTATTATTCTTTCTTTTATAGTTGGCACCGCAGCTCAGCAGGGTAAGTGTATTTTACCAGCAATCTTAACTATTCAGTATGATAAAAAGACCAACTATGGCTCACAAGCGAGGACTAAAAGTCAAATAGAAATATTTGAATTTTGCAAATACTGTAGGATAAAAAATATTCCCTGTTGATTAATTGTTACTGATGTGACTGATTTAAAAAATTGGCTGTCGTTAATTGTCCCTAATTATTGCTAGCGACCCCCAAGCAGGGTTGGGCATTTTCCAACAGCAACAAGCGGTAAGATTACAGCAGACTGAGTTGTTAACACGCGTTATTATCTTCTTTGCAGACGATACCGAAGTACAGGAGGGTAAGTGTATTTTACCAGCATTCTTAACTATTTAGCATGATATAAAGACTCAGATGCCTCACGGGTGAGGACTAAAAGGTGGCTATAAATATTCAAATTCAAGCAGTATTTTAGGAGAAAAAAAAAATCCTGTTTTTCAGTCGCTACTGTCATCAGCGATCAGAAAAATCATAGACTCATAGAATCATAGAATGGTTTAGGTTGGAAAGGACCTTGAAGATCATCGAGTTCCAACCCCCCTGCCATGGGCAGGGACACCTCCCGCTAGACCAGGTTGCCCAAATCAGCTGTAATGAGTTGCCCCTAAATACTGTTAGCGGTCTCCAAGCAGGGTTGGCCATTTGCAGAGAGCAGGAAGCGTGTGGACAAAGAGAAGGATGAATAGCAGGTGGCCAGGCTCGCTCACAGAAAGTAGAACACTCTGTGATGGCAGTTTGATACTGTTCAGTGGTGCAAAGAATCAGTGTAAAAAAATAAAGGAAAACATGCATGCAAAAGACACGTACACAGGGAATTTACATTACACCATAAACCCCAAGATTTTGCAGCACAAACTGTTGTGGTGGGATGAAGGGTGTGCAGGGAAGCCTGCCCAGAAGCTCTTCGTAATGTTGGTTTCCCTTCTCGTTGGCATACCTTCCGATAAAGAATTCCTGGTGGAGATTTCTGGAACCATGGTGACAATCACATGTCCCTTGACTGAAGAGACCATAGCCTGGAAGTCAACTGGGACAAAACCACCCAGCAATGAGAGGAAGTACGTTATAGAGAATCATGACAGCTTTCCTACCAACGTGAGTTGTTGGTCAGGTGATAAGAAGTACAACATGTACCTGAATGCCAGAGGTGAGTGAAAAAGTGCTCAGTCTATCGGCTAAAGATGAAGTCTACACATTTCAGTAACAGCTCTTAGGAGCTGAGACCTGGTTTTCAGTGCTGCTGGGCTGGGTGAATGCGATTCTGCTGAGGTCCTCCTCGCCCTGCGTGGGCAGTAAAAGAGTCCAAGAGCGCCTTTTTGGCGAACGGAATCTCCCTGCCTTTCCCTTCCGCTGCCCTCAAGCTGGGTGCGTGGCAGTGGTTCCCACGTATACAGCGTGCCATCTTTTTTTGTACCGCTTCTGCCACGCTACAAGGCAACAGTAGTGTCTGCCACGAAGGCTAGAGGCGTTTCTTAGCTCAGGGAGTGGAAGCCTCCCATCCGGAGCACACGGCCTGCTTCCTGTGACCCATCAACCGGGGAGGTTTACCCCACCCTGAGAGAGCGATTTAAGCCTCTGAGGCGTTTGAAATTTGGGCAGCTGTTCTGCATTCGGGACTTAGAATCCAGCATAGGCAGAGGGGGGCAATGATCTAGGAGAGGTTTTGCACCCTCCGGCTGCGGCCATGCAAACAGCGGAGGGTAGGGAAGGAGGCTGCACACAGCAGACCCCGCTCCGTGTTTGCAGACCGAAATGGTGGGGGGGATAAAATAGCCTGTGCTGTCCCCCTTCCTTTCTGTTTGCTCTTTTCTCCTTCCCACCCAGAACTGTCTCTTTTCTGCTACCGCTAAACAGATAAGCGTGGCCCTGACTTTCCATGCTGGAAAGGAAGGGTGTCCGGCTCTGAGCACCTTCATCTCTCCTCCCGGCAGTGTGCGCAAACTGTGAGGAGCTGGATGCCTTGGCAGTGACGGGGATCATCACTGCGGATATTCTCATCACCTTCGGGGTGCTGATTCTGGTCTATTACTTCAGCAAAGACAGGAAGGGGAGAGCGAGCAGTGGTGCCGGCAGTCGGCCACGAGGTAAGAGCCGTGTCAGGCTCATCATCAGCTCAGGATGTCCGCTAAGCACTAAACGAAGCCCTCGCCCCTGCCGAACGACAGAGCCTCCTCTGTTCCCCCCAAGCCTCCAAGACCTCGCCAAAAAATGCTCCTGCTTCCCATAACTGTTGCTCCGGGCTGCCTTCTTGTACGGGGTGGGTGCGGCTGCTGCGTTGTGTCAAAGGCTTCCTGCCCGTCGGAAACCATTCCCCAGGCAGCAGCGTTGAGTCGGCGCTGAAGCAAACTCTGTACGACGGATGCTCAGCTTGCAAGTGCAGCTGCAAACCCAGCCTGGTCCTGGCCCGCTCAGCTGCTGTCCCAGGCAATCAAAGACCAAGAATTAGGCCCGCGCACAGAAGGTGCGATTAGAAATTGCGGTATTATTCAAACTATGCATTTGGATTTCTGGCTTCTGAGGCCATGGCTTGGTGACACAGTGGGTCCAGCAGTGGGGCTCACGGGTTCTAAATCCCAGGGTGAAGTGATGCAGGGTGGTGACCTCACGGTGCTGGTTCCGATTTGTTCAAGAAGTGTTGACGATGACATTTGTACCAGGAGACTGTCTGTCGCACAGGTACCACAGGAGCTCACCAGCCAGGCTTTGTGCAGATCAGGCATTGCCACTCTTCCCCTAGCATCCACAAAGCTGATATAACCCTTTTGGCAGGTCTAAATTCCCTATCGTGTCCTTCTTGTGCACGTTGTGTGCTGAGTTCTTGTTTTCAAGTATTTCTTCACAGCCAGGAAAGCTAGAAATTTACCCTTTCTACAAGAAAGCTGATTTCCTCCTCAATGATCATGAAGCCTCCTACCTGCAGCAGTTAGGTCTTTAAAAGCTCTAAGCTCATAGTAAAGCCATGCAAGGTGACCCATGGTGTGCGTTACCCTGGGATCATCTCCATGAAGGTTCCTCGTGCTGCGTTAGAAGAATCATCACTAAGCATGACCTACCTCTCTTTGCCTCTGTTGCAGGTCAGAAAGTGCAGCGTCCTCCCCCCGTTCCAAACCCGGACTACGAGGTATGGAGAACCTGCATGTTTTTTCACCTCTCTTTGCTGGTTGGGGAGGGATTGCCAGAGCTGGAAAGCATTTATCCTTTTTGCTCCTTTGAAAAAGCATCCAGTCAACCTCCAAGCTTTCACGGGAGCGTAGGAAAAAGGTGGTGAGGGTGGACCCATTCTCCCAGTGCTGACACAAGGAGTTGGGAGCAGAACTGCAGCTTCTTGTACACGCTGCCAGAGCAGCACTACACCGCTCTGTTGTGGTTTTCTCTGCCTCCTGCACGCACCAAGACTCTGGCGTTATTTGAGAGTGTGTTAATAAGGATTCCCGAACTAACATCTCTGCTGTTCCCACAGCCCATCCGGAAAGGCCAGCGGGAAGTGTATGCAGGCCTGGAACCCAGGGGCTTCTGAAATTCCCACGGATGACAGGCTGGAAAGCGGCAGCAGCAGAGGCTAAGAGCTTCTGCCCAGCTTGGTACCGGTTCTCTGCAGACCTGCTGAGGCCCAGGCATTTTGGGGTAAGCCAGGCGGCTACGCAGGACAGGCTCCCTGCCGCCATCCGCTGTCTTACCCGGAGGTGTTACTTCAGCCTTGGGTTTGACATTAGGGAAAAGAAACAAATGAGCACATCGGCACATTAAAGGACTGCAGCCTGACTTGTGATTCCTCGCCTCCTTTTCCCTCGCACTTTTCTCTCTGCTCCAGTTGCACGCCCATTTAATTCCCTCCCATTTAATTTCCGCCCTGACTGCCTCCGCTTCCTCCCCATGCCTCTCTGGGTAGCTACTGGGCAAAGTGGGTCCTTCTCAGAGTGACTGGCCTCTGACCTTGTCCTGCTCTCATGTTAATAGCCTACCTTCATATTGCTGCCCAGGGTTGTAATCAAAGGAACAGAGGCAGACAGCGTATTAAAAGCAAAATGGTACATTTTCATAGAAAAGCCACTGCTTTGAATGCAAATATTTCGGTCAAAAAGAACAGTTTTCCTTCAAAAAAAAAGAGAAGCGCTTCTACCAGTACATGCAGACTGACCTCTCCCTCCCCCAGCCCTTCTTCTGTAGGAAATGAGTGGGGCTGAGTACCACTTTGCATCCACTGTCCTTTACGACCTTCAGCAGAACATCTTCTTGGGGTCACATGAGGATTTGGCACTTTCCCAAGCCATCTGAAAGCCTCCTATTAGGAAATATAAGTGCTTGGCTTAAATCTTTGTTGCTATTAAATAGTGGGGCTCTTAGATATTTCAGCTAAGGTTTGAAGCCCCACTTAACAATGAGTGCACAACGGGGATTTGCATGTTTCCCAGATTGGAACAGAGACTCTTTGGCTCAGTCCCAGGACTAGCACTCTGCTCTGAAAGAGCTTGTTCACTGGAAGTGAAATAAATGCGCTGGGGCTACAGATATAAAGACGAGGACCTACAAAATCCAAGACAGCATCAAACCCCTTTGCTGGACCGTCTTTCTGATCTGGAGACTTCATGGAGTCCATTTTTACTGATATTCTATAGTATAGTCTAGGATAAACACATTTATTTTGAGTGTGTTGTACCCTAAGGGGTGTACAAGTACATTTGCTGGCGGAGTGTCATTTTCCAGAGCTGTCGCTCTTACAGATTCTTGTGATTTGTCCTTTGCTGCTGCCCTTTCTCTCCCCATTTCAGCTCTGTAACTTGAGTTCTGCCTGGGTTTCTTGGAAAGATGGTGAGCTGCTTTGCTGGTAAAGTGGTAAAGATCCATTTTAACTTTTTTATATGCATTTCAAAACTGTAATATATTAATAAAATAGGAAACAGCACCGCCAGGTATGCATTGGAAAAGATTTCCCCTGTGTTTTTGTCTCTGTTAAATAAAACCAGTATTTGTTAGGGGGAGTTCTCAGGTCAGGAGCAGTCCAAGACAATGAGAGCTTCTGTGGGTCTGCGTTGACTCACCTTGCAGCAGCCTACGAGGGGTTTGGGAGCAGACTGTGCCAGGATGGGGCTGGCGGGGGGGGACACAACTACGTGCACAAAGATGCACTGCCGTGCCTAGGAGAGCGGGGCCTGAGAGCGGAACAGGGGTCAACAGGAGCTGGGGAGCGGGTCCGGGGCTGCCGTCGGGGTGGGGGAGGGGAGTGAAATAGCTGAGGTCCCATCCGCTCAACATATAAATGTTAAATCTGCCTGATTTTAAAAGCTGCGGTTTCCAAAGCAGCAGCAGCAGCAGCGGCACAGGTAGCAACTCAAGGAGAAGGGCCCAAGAGCTGCTGTGATGCCTGGGAAGGTTTCTGGTCTAACACAGGCTGAGCGAGCCACATTCCTGTTGCTCTGCTGAGCAACAGCTCTGAGGAAAGGAAACAGCAGCAGCGATGGGGGCTGGGGGTGGTTTAACCCTTGAGTTTCAGCATGGGGAGACGAACACCCAGCAAGTTTCATACTTCACGTTGCTGTGCTTGCCCTGCAGGATGTGGTTTTAAAGGCAGCACAGCTGGGTTTACCATACAAGGCGTAAAACGTCTAGGAGGGAGATTGCAAGATACAGAATACTAACCCTGAACAGCTCTAAAACCACTCTGGGTCACGTTCTCAGCTTCTGCAAAACATCACTGCTCCAAGGACACTTGCTCAGCCCAGCTATACAGCCCATTGCCACGAATGAGGTGTGAGAAACTCGGAGCACTCTGGGTGTACAAAGTCTAAATTTTGCTTCCAGCTACACCCCGGTGCTTCTGCCACCTTTTATAGGGCTGCATGTTTGCCTAGCGTTTGCCCCAAGCAGTGCCATCCCGCGCCCACGCTCTCCTTATCTCGGTGTGGGATCACCGCCCATCCACTGACAACATCTCTCTGCCTCTGTACTTAGCTGCACTGCAGAAATATTTCTTTGTTCTCCCAAAGGTGATGTGCTGAGGAGCCTCTCGCAAACAGACGAGCTGTAAATGTTGCCCCTGCTGTGTCTTTGATTTGCGCAGAGCATACTCACCCACTCGGCTCCAGGTTTCTCCTGCTCTTTGGGTGTGGCTAGCCACCTTCGCCCCTTGCTTTGAGATCTGATGGTGTTGAAAGTGCTATGAACTAGGCAGTCTGCTGGTCACTTTTTTCCTAAAGTCCTACCCAGATGGCTTCGCAGACCAAAGGCGAGTATTGGCATAGCCTACCTGCAACAGTCCAATCAGGCTCACCCTTCACTGGAGCAGGTTAGAGCAGAAAAACCACTAGGACATTTTTCTGCTCCTGTGAAGAGCAAAATTCGTTGTCCTGTAAAGAGCTGACACCATAGGAAAACAAGTCCTTTTCTTGTTTGCTGTGCGCAAGGCTGATCACACGCTGATTCCCGTAAGGGCACATGGGGTGCACCCACGGCTTTTCACAGCCTACGTTGTTTGCTGTGTCAGATGTGTCACAGATTCGTGGCCAGTTTTTATTGAGTGTTAACTCTCCCTGTGCTTACTTTATACCACTGAGTCACAAGGCAATTCAGCGCCTGGTGCTCTCTAAAGCCTGTCATCCAGATTCACAGAAAAGCAGGAAAACCCAACCTACAGGTGCGTGCAACTGGCACACGGAGGGTGACCTGGTTTCTGAGGTTTCTAACTGCTTGCTGATCCTGCCTGTTATCTTCCTGCGCTTTGGCCATAGTCAGACTGCACGAGCTGTTTCTGCTCAGAGCTGGGGAGCGGGGACCTTGCCAGGAGGAGCTGGGTTGGTGTGGGGACACCCAGTGCTGCTCCACGTCTGGAAGGGTGGTTGAGATGGGAAGGGCTCTGAAAGTTTGCTCGACTGCATCCTGTACTCAGCACACTGGGATGGCTAGTGAGCCTGAAAGGGGGGTTGCCGAATGCCCCCCCCGAAAGATCCCTGGCCTGGTCACAAAGGTGGGCTGCAGAGGCAGAGGAAGGTGAGCGGGGGGAGACTGCGATTAGATGCCGAGCTCTGCATGTGCAGAGGAGAAGTCCTCCTCTCCTTCCTCCTCCCAGCTCCCCACCTCTGTCCAGAGGACACAAGCACTTTGCAGGGGTGACGGAGACCCTGCTGAGCATCACTATGCCCCTGGTGTCCCTGCTCCCCATTCTGGAAGGAGAATTAAATGAGACAAAGCCTCTTCTGCTATCAGGGGCAGCAACGCTCTCCCTTCACAAGGTCTACCATTCCCTGCTTCAGCAATGGACCCAGACATCATCTGGATCCTGGCGGAGAGCGGTGGCACAGCCCTGGGCACTGCCTGCACTTGGCAGAGCAGTGTCCTGCCGGGACAGGCAGGAGACTTACGGCTCTGCAGGGATCCAGGCAGAACGCATCCAGCATGCACCTTCCCCAGCGACTGCACAGCTCCCCAGGCCTCAACACAACCGACGGGAAAGGGAGGTGACGGGATCGGCTCGTCTTTAATGAAAGGGATACAGAAGTGCACGAGGTCACGGAAAGAGCAGAGGGCTACAAGCAGCCCATCCTGGCAAGCACCCAGAGGGTTGTCTAGGCAAAAACCTGCACTGTCTTCTGCCAGCACGGAGCTTACGGCGGCACTGTAACACCACTCCCATTGTGAAGGAGTCACAAGCCCCGGCATCTTCCCACTTCACTTGCGGGCCTTGGCAGGCGCCAGCCGGCTGTACTGTCCGTCGTCCCGCTCGCCAAGGGGCTAGGAGGAAAAAACAGGCGAGATGAGCTACAACTGCGTCTGTCCAGCCCTGGGAGGGAGGGAACAGGGGAAGCTGGCCCAGCCCACCCTTTGACAAGCTTTTGGCAAGCTTTCCCTTCCCTCACACAGAGCGTAACAACCCCAGGGAGTAAGAGGCAGGAGGCAGCTGAGCTTGCCCCATCCTCTGGGTCACTCAGGGAATGCGGCTGTGAATGCCCCAGCAGAGAGCAATCTCCAGCACGGCTCAACGCCTTCTGGCATCGAGGATCCCCCCGCAGCTGTGCCGTCTCGGCCACGCCGGTCCCACCACGCAGCCCCACACCACGCAGAGGTGCTGAAGCCCACGCGTGTGCCGATGCTCACCTGGTAGAGCTGCTCATTGGCAATCAGGTTCTGCCTGTCAGAAGCTGAATAAAGAAAGAAGGCGGTCAAGGATCAGGGGAGCAATGGGCAGTGTAGTGAACATTTGCAAATAAACCCAAGCGGTCGGCTGCTTTCAGCCCTATGCTTTTACTTCCTCTGGGAAGCTCAGTGGAAACCCCTGCAAGGCCTCAGATGTTCCTGTGCCACCAACTGCCGGCCCCGGGATGAGGTTTTTGTGAACCTTGTGTATTTGATGGCTTCTCCTGGGAAGCTGAGCTAAGGGCAGGAAGGGTACACGAAGCCCTCACCTTGATCCCTACCCTAGCCACGCTGTATGCTGGCTGCTACCTGCAGCTTCCAGTGCCTGGATTCCGTAGGCAGTGACAGAAAATCCCTAGGTACCACGCAGCTCCTAAACATGACCACACGCTTCCCATCCCCACCCACAGGCAGCCAGCAGGGCTCTCCCCTCACCTCGTGACATGCGTCCCTTGTCCTGGCCAGTGACGCAATACACAGCAACCGCCAGCAAGACGGTGGCAACAACATCTGCAACCACGATCCCCGAGATGGTGGGAGCGTCCACTTCGATGCAGTTCTGGCACACTGGAAGCCCAAAAGGACACAGACAATGAAAGCAGGACCGTGACACAAACCCTGCCCCTTGACCACGCTGCCAGGGGCAGTGTGAGTCTGAGTCTCTGCCGTTCCAGGCAGGCACCAGTCCCAGGGCAACAGAGACCAAAGACTAAGTCTGGCTTACTGCGTGATCCAAGGCAAAGGCGCAAGCTGCCACGTGTCCCCAGCACTCAAGGGAGGCCACAGCAGAGCCAGCGAGCGGCTAGCAACGATGCGGTATAAGTGCCTCATTAAGTTACGGCACTAAACGAAGCTGTAGAGCTCTCCCAGGGACACCAGATGCAGAGGAACATGCAGCTCGGCTGTTCCCATAGGCAACCTAGCACAGGAGCTGTCGGGACTTCCACAAACTGGTGGAACCACCCTCAAACTCTGAGAAATCAGTAGTTCCCTCAAAAGTTTGCTTGGGTGAATGCTCCAGGCGGTTCTGGCTCTAGAAACCAGGTTTGCAACACTTACTTCGATAGTGCACCTGGAGGGGGGGGCTTCTCTTTCCGCCTGTTTCACAGGTATAGATGCCTCTGGGGTCATCGTAAATTGCACCCAAGTCCAGCCGTGTTGTGTTTCCTACCCTGGTCCTGTCTTTCAGCCACGTGACTTCACTTTGGCTGGTCGTTACACATTGCAGGAACACCTTCCCGCTGGCTTCTTTCACGATTATTTCCTGTCCTGTAAAAAAAAAAGAGAGCAGAAAGATTCACAGACGAGTTCTCAGCCCTCGCAGTGGTGCCAAGCTCAGAGATCATTCATGGAGATGGCTATTGCAGAGAGCATCACATTAGGCTGTCCCCTGACCAACAGAAAGGACACCGCAAATAAAAAACTCTGCAAAAAGCAGACTACCCAGCAGAAAATTAGTCCAATGTTCAACTTGTTGTTACATTAATGCAGCTCTGGGTAGTTTAGAGATCAAAACTCCCTTAGAGCGAAAACTAACTGGAACTGGGCATCTACCTGGACTCCATTCAGACTGTATGTGCATGGCCCCCACCCCACACATAGATCGCATTAGTATTGAAATGCAACTGCAGTAAGAGACATTTCAACAGAAAGTGAAACATCTCCATCAGCAGGGACAGAAGTTGAGCCCAAATCGGGAGGCAAAACCCCATTTGGATTTTTACCCAATGGTAAGAAACGTTTTTAGTGAAAAACATGCAACCCCCCCCCCAGAAATGCTTCCGTAGCTCAAAGGCATCACCTTCACACTCTGCAAACAGAGAGTAAATTCCCCGTCTTATTTGCAGAGCGCAGAGCACAGCCTCTCCTGCTTGCATGGTCTAACATCGTGGTACTGCCAAGTCCAACTTCACACGCTCTCTCGTTACAAGGCGGGTTTGAGCCTTCACGGTCAGCCAGGGAGTAACGCACGGGGCTCCAGACTGTCACAGCAACGGCCCAGGGCAGGCAGAGTCGTCAGAGCCATCCCGTTCTCATGAACCATTGCACCCTTCTCCCCGTCGACATTTACGAACCTCACATCAAAGCGCTGCGGTGGGCAACCCCAGCAAGCCACGGGCACCCGCTTCCCACCACCGCAGAGACACCCATGGTGTAAGCAAGGTCTCCAGGGACCACGGCAAGCGCCCAACCGGCACCGTGCCGACCCGCTGCAGCCCATGGGATGAACCCCAGCATCGCTGTCTGCGCAGGGTCCCTTGGGCACACACCGGGGATCTCCACGTACCGTGTCGGTCAGCACCGCAGTCGCCCACGGGCGGCGGCTGATGCCCAGGGACTTACCTCGGACACGCCAGCTGGCCACGGCCAGGCTGGCG